CCATCGAAGCCTCTGAAGGTGCAGGTGGACCTGGTGGGAGAAAGGCGAGGTGCCATCCGCCAGTGTCCACCTGTTGGGCCTTTCCAATGTCCACTGCGGTGGGCTTCCACTCAGCGTCCCCAATGCCCGTCCAGCGTCTCCGCCGTGGTCGCGTTCGATGGATTGAAATGTCCGTGTTTTGCAGCGGCGAAATTGTGCCTCTTGTGTTGTTTCTGCCGTTGATAACTTGGAACCCGGGATGGCCATGGAATCTACTATGAAGCATGGAAACAAAGTACCTTGAACGCGACATGTCTGTACCCTGCAGCCAGGAGTCAAGCTGAAGGGTACAGCCAGACCAGCAACAGCTACCTTCCATAACCTCCCCGACCTGTGCTGGGGCACCTGGACACAGAGCAGCAGCAGGTCCTTGTTTGCTTCCACTGCTCTCTGTGTCTCTCTCCCGACTCCCGTCTGCCCCAGTCTTCATGGGCTGGACTGGACTGAGCTGCACTGATGAATGATGTGGATGGACCACCATGACCATGAACCGTGTACCATAATCCTTACTCTTTTTTTTTTCCATGTATTTTTTATTTTATTTCGCAGACACTTTATCCAATCTGAAGGCCCAGTACGTATCGCAAGGTATCCGCCGAGGTGCATTTTCCCTCGTGCCTACCTATCCTATCCTGACCTATCCTGTCCTGTCCAGTGCTTGCTTCGTGCGTCCTCACATCTCTTCTCCCATCATCTCCCGGTCCTCTCTCTCACACTTCCTCCTCCTCTACCTCTACCTCTCTACCTCTCTACCTCTTTCTCTCAAACTTCCCCGTTCTGCCAATTCGAGCTGGACATCCCGTCTCATCTCGTCCTTTCCGTCTGTCCTTCTTGCCAAACCAACCTTACCCACCTTACCCTGCCTTGCCTTGCCATTACCTGGCTCCAGTCCTCCTCGCCTCATCGCCACTTTGCCCGTCTTCCTTTCTCTCACTCGCCCACGCTAGCACTTTTAGTCTTTCCCCTGACACGCCATTGGCCTCGCCCCCGGGCAGCACACAGAACAGAAACAGAAGCAAGTCGAGCTGCTGGGCTCTTCTGCTGCAGGATTAACATTAGCCAACCCGCAGCCCACAGGGCGTCCACTACGAACGCCCCCAAGGTTTTTAGCGCATTTTACTAAACTGGCCGTGGCACTCCTAAAACCGACAAAAGCTTCTTCGCCCGCCCATTTCCTCAACTCCCGACGTTCCTTACTCTACGCCAGTCAAACCACCTTGGATTCAACCTCATCCAGGTGACTGACCGCTTCCGCAGCACCACCACACACCTACACACCTGACAACACACACAGCCTCTTCTTGCAAGTCGAGTCGGCTTCAGTCCTTTGCTTCTCGAGAGCGCCCTGTCCCTGGCCTGCTCTGCTTTGCTTTCTCTTGGCTTTGCTTCTCCTCGTCTGATCTGCCTGACATCCAACGCCCTCGGACAACAAAAAAGACTACTCTTCTCCGACGCGAACAACCCCCCAACCGTCCTTCTTAGACTGCCCGCCTGCAGTCTTTTTTTTTTTCCTCCGTCGCTTTCGCCTTCGCCATCGAGAATCACCTCACAATCCCTGAGGCCCGCCACACCCGGCCTGCGAATTGATCGACCTTTTCTTTTGCACTAGAGGGCCGGCATTCCTTCTACCTCCCGTTCGCGCCAATTCTCCCCCTCCTATTCTCTAATCACCGCCAAAATTGAGTCGAATTGGTACAACATGTGTTTCGGGGGCCGATCGAAGGATGATGGCGGCGCTGCCCGCTCGCGCGATCTGGACCGCTTGATCCGCCAGGATGAAAAGAAGATGTCGAAAGAAGTGAAGCTTCTGTTGCTGGGTACGCTGTCGCAACAACAGCTAACATTGTCGTGTCTGCAATCCACTAACCCCTTTGCGATTACCAGGTGCCGGAGAATCTGGAAAGTCGACCGTGCTTAAGCAGATGAAATTGATCTACGCCCAAGGTTTCAGCAAAAACGAGAAGCTCGAGTGGAAGCCTGTTGTTTTCAACAACATTGTACAATCCTTCCGCCTGATCCAAGACGCCATGGCCGAGATGCACATCGAGTTTAGCAACCCAGAAAATGAGGCAAGCATAACCCGAATACGCCAATTGCGCGGGTGTCGCATCCGAAATGCGGCGCTGTCGCATGTGAAAGAAGAACGACTAGACTAACACGCAATGTCTCTGACAGAAACACATGGCGCACATCCTGGTGGAACACGAGATCAACGCTTCAGATCCCCTCCCGCGCGACTACCTGCAGCCCATCAAGGAGCTCTGGACTGACGGCGGCGTCAAGCAAGCCATCGCAAAGGGCAACGAGTTCGCGCTTCACGACAACTTGGCATAGTAAGTCACGTTTGCGGTATGCGACAACCTTGGAACCTGCTGCTGACCCTGTCGAAGCTTCTGTGACGATTTGGACCGTATCTGGAGCGATGCCTACGTACCGACGGACCAGGACTTGCTGCGCTCGAGATTGAGGACTACGGGTATCACGGAAACGGTTTTCGACTTGGGCCAGCTGACCTACCGCATGTTCGATGTTGGCGGCCAGCGCTCAGAACGAAAGAAGTGGATCCACTGCTTCGAGAATGTCAACTGTCTGCTCTTCCTCGTCGCCATTTCTGGATATGACCAGTGCTTGGTCGAAGACAAGGACGGCGTAGGTGTGCCCCGATGTGGTCGTGAATTATCGTTGCTAACTTGCACTGCTAGAACCAAATGAACGAGGCGCTCATGTTGTGGGAGTCAATTGCCAACTCGCACTGGTTCACCAAGTCTGCCCTGATTCTGTTCCTCAACAAGATGGATCTCTTCAAGGAGAAGCTGCCCACCAACCCCATCACATCACACGGCTTCACCGACTACCACGGACCCGCCGACGATTGGAAGGCTGCCAGCAAGTACTTTTTGGACAAGTTCCGTGCCCTGAACCGAAACACCGAGAAAGAGATCTACGGCCATTTCACGAACGCGACCGACACAAATTTGCTCAAGATTACTATGGGCTCAGTGCAGGACATGATCATACAGCGCAACCTCAAGCAGCTGATACTATAAGGCCGGATCTGCGATAATTTTGCGCCACCCGTTGGCTTCCGTCTATATCAACACAATCCTAAATGGCATCTACCAAACATGCCGAACCTAATCGATACCCGCGGCCTCCAAGGTCCATAACCCGCCCCTTGCGGCGCCATCCATTCAGAACATTCGGCGTCGTCACCCGATCCACTGCGAGCGTTCAGCCCAGCCACAGCGTCGCAAGCTCTAAGCGAGTTTGAGTCAGACTCGGAGAGCACCGAATTGGATGTATATTACTTCCGCTTCCTTTGTGTCTATTTTCTGGTTATCTATTGTCCATATGCAGGCGTTATTTACCGAACGGAGTCTTGCGAAACGCGGCAGGTAATCATGCAGCTTTGTTTTTGCATATTATTGCCAGTATGCGACAGCCTGACAGCGCGCAACCAAGGCCGGCAGAGAGCAGTGGGTAGGCCGTGGCCCCTGCTTCGAGGTTCAACGGCGGATATGGCGTGGGGGAAAGACGGAGCAGGTTGCGAAGGGTGGTTCACATGAGACGAAACGAAAGCATGGGAGAGGCCGAGCTGATTCTGTTTTGCGTGCGATGGATTGATACCTAATGCCCTGTTTCAAGCTTTGTCCTCATGTTTGGAACAAGAAGAAAAGAAGAGATGTGTGTGGACTGTAGTGCCAAGGGTGGAAATGGCACGACTGCGAGGCAGGCAGGCATCTAAACTCGAAAGGAAAATTGGACAAAACATGTTAAAAAAGCATTTACACACCAGATGTCCGGACTACAAGAGAGTCTCTTTCGCAGAGTGTGCCATGGCGTGTCTCATGCATTGTGGCTTTGCATTGACACCACCCCTTCTGGCTAACCTTCAGGTCTTAAATTTTCCCCGCGATCCGGTCAGATGGGACCAGCCGCGTCTTCAATCAGGTACCCGCGAAGGCGGAGCTGTCCTGGTGGTCGGTCCCCGACGTTGACGGAGGTATCTGTGCAAGGGAAGCTGTCATAGTTTCGGGTACCGTCTATCCTAGTATATAAGCTTACAAGACCCGTTTCATGGGGCTTCCAACGGACGAACATGATGAGTTGCCGTGAGAGGCGGCTGTGGGGGACAGATAATTCGTCGGCACGGTGTGCCGAAGGTGGTCACTGGCCAGTTGCCCAGATGGGGATGTGCTGGACATGTTCGGCTCCCTGCCGTCAGGTGAATCGTCGCATGAAGGTGGCTGTGTGTTCTTGTGCCTTGTGGGGGACGATGAAGGTGTCACATCCCAACGCTCATGACCAGACGAGGATAAATATAGCGAGATGAGTTATGGGAATAAGAATCTGGTGGTGGTTGTCGCGTGACCCCCCATTGCAAACGCTTTGACGGTCCCATTCATAAAGCAATCCATTTCGAGAAGTATCCAGTGGTGAGCGGCATCATTGAAGTGATGATTTGTAAAATGGCACAATGGGTAGGAAGGCGCGTGATGGCGAATAGAATCCAGGCTGAGCCATGCCGGCAACATGCAAATGGACAGGGGCAAGAATGGTTCAATACCAACCACGTATGCAGTCATCATCTCTGTTGGTTCGGACTTGGACATGTAGTCTGCGCCCTATGTCGCATCCCGCCGCAGGAATGCTCTGGAGCGTCGGCCGGGACTGAAAAAGGCCGATTCATCGGAGCCGCCCCGATCACATCATTTCCCGACGCTTCGGACAATTGTCCGACCAATCCGCACTGTAGTGGCGCCCATCGGATTCCCAGTCAGCGACAGTGCTTGCACAGTCCTCCAACGGCCCGGCAGCAGGGATGAGCTTCGATGCCGTACCGCACCGAAGCTACCCCGCCGTTATCGCCCCGCAATGTCGTCGCCTCCAACCGCTCCCCACCATCACGCCGTCCCCTCCCAACGTCAACCGGGCCATACACACACTCTCTTTAAACAGCAATGCGCCTCGCCCTCCGAACCCTCTCTCACCTCACATCGTCCGTCTTCAAGCCGTCCTCCCAGCGCCTCGTCCCGTTCCGCACCATGGCCACCTCCGCATCCCCGGTGCTCAAGCAGCCCGTCAAGCTCGCCTGCATCCAGCTCGCCTCCGGCGCCGACAAGACGGCCAACCTCGCCAACGCGCGGTCCAAGGTCCTCGAGGCCGCCAACGCCGGCGCCAAAATCGTCGTGCTGCCCGAGTGCTTCAACTCGCCCTACGGCTGCGACTACTTCCCCAAGTACGCCGAGACGCTGCTGCCCTCGCCGCCGACCAAGGAGCAGTCCCCGAGCTTCCACGCCCTCGCGGCCATCGCCTCCGAGAGCGGCGCCTACCTCATCGGCGGCTCGATCCCGGAGCTCGACGCCAAGACCGGCAAGTTCTACAATACGAGCCTCATCTTCTCGCCCAAGGGCGAGCTGCTCGCGAGCCACCGCAAGGTGCACCTCTTCGACATCGACATCCCGGGCAAGATCACCTTCCGCGAGTCCGAGGTGCTCAGCCCCGGCGACAGCGTGACGGTCGTCGACCTGCCCGAGTACGGCAAGATCTCGGTCGCCATCTGCTACGACATCCGCTTCCCGGAGCTGGCCATGATCGCGGCGCGCAAGGGGTGCTTCGCGCTCGTGTACCCGGGCGCGTTCAACCTGACGACGGGCCCGATGCACTGGCGCCTGCTGGGCCAGGGGCGCGCGGTGGATAACCAGATTTATGTGGCCATGTGCAGCCCCGCGCGCGACATGGACGCGACGTACCACGCGTGGGGGCACAGTCTCATCATCGACCCGATGGCGAACGTGCTGACGGAGGCTGAGGAGGGGGAGACGACTGTTGCGTGGGAGCTGGACGGCACGAAGATTGAGGAGGCGAGGAGGAACATTCCTGTTAATACGCAGAGGAGGTTTGATGTGTATCCGGATGTCAGTTCGGCGAAAGTCGACGGCAAGCCATGAGGGTGGATCTTATGAGAAGCGCGCAACGTGAGGGGAGCTTCATTTGTACACCATTGTAGCCTGATGCATGGGTAAGAATAGAGTAATAAAGAAGGCGGCGGCCTCCGTGGTTTGCGTCTAGCTGATTGATTTGACAACACTTTGAAAGAAATTAGTCAGTATGAGTGGTAAGGCATAAACGTCTGCGACCATCGGTCAAGGTTATTGCCATGCCCACGTATCAAATTTAGTATGCATCGGTTGCCTTGATTATGTAACACCGAACCCATACGGTGGTCAGAATGGCCACTTCTGAGACATGACCTTTTCCCTCGTCCTATACTCTCTTAGCAATAAGAAAGAAAACTATTCATATCGTAGAGAATCAACACTTAAGATTGGAGATAGTTTCCAAATATTGCTATTATTGTTTTAGCTACCTATTCTCAACGACCTTGATGTTACGTCTTATTGAGAGACTCCTTGCTTTGACGACTGAGTGCCCCTTCACCCAACTTCTTGTTTAACTGCGCTGTTGAGGTCTGCCTCACGATAATATGCCGTGAGATGTGCAAGCTCAGGTCGAATCGTGTGATGTGATTGGATGCTATTGCATATAGCTGTGGTAGCCATCATTGGCTGCAATCAGTGAAGTCTGCCTGATTGACAAGCCGGGCGCAAGCTGGGCTGGGGTTGTGGCTGTTCAACGACGCTATTATTGGGTACCATTGCATGTTACTCTAATCATCATCACCAACCATACTCATTCGTCCCATTAGCTTACAACACTTATATCTTGCTGCAAATCGCTTTGACAAAGAGATAAAACTTGATTGCAAATGTAATAGCGCCCATTTAATTTAGCATGAGTCTGCACTTAATTGGCGATCTCAGCTCCACGGCCTCGCCAATGGATCTGCCAGGCAGAATGTTGCCCCGATATTGTCATTCTATGTTACCATCTACCTCACATACACGACTTATTGAACTATTTCCGGCATCTGATCCATCATATGATCTGCGTTGCCGGATTCACGTTGTCAAACAAGCCCGGGCACAAGCGACATACCATGCTATCTCTTACACTTGGGGATGTCCGGACTTCACATGCAATCTCGTCATTGTTGACGATATCTTGGACAACCAGGGCTCAGCCCAGTGCCAGTACACCCTGGCCGAGTTCCCATCACCCGAAGTCTTGACGGAGCCCTTCGACGCTTCAGGGACTACTCCAGCGCTGCCCAAACTCGGTGTCTCTGGGCAGACGCTGTCTGTATCGACCAGGATAACCCGAAAGAAAAAGCTCACCACATACCATTGATGACTTCAATTTATCGAGACGCCATCGGAGTACTCGTTTGGTTAGGGGGCAATGCGGGACGCCAAATATCTCTGTATGATTCCAGCTTTTTAAATCACCCCTGGTTCCGCCGACGTTGGGTTATTCAAGAGGCCGTGCTCAATAAAACCATCATCTTAGTCTCCGAAAATGCCACACGGAGCTTTTATGAGCTTTGCGAAGTGGCCTACGACATATATCGGAACAGATCAGGCCGCGTTCCGACCATTCTCGCCATTCGCGCCGCCTCAGCCTGGCAAATACATTTGATGCGCTCTGCGCTTCATGATAAGTACAGTGCGGAAGGCCAGACAATCGATTATAACATCTGCAAACTCATGCGATCTTTCGATCAATACGACTGTGCGGACCCGAGAGACAAGGTGTTTACACTCGCATCCTTGGCCGGGGATGTAGACACTCGAGAGGTGGACTTGGCTACTTTTCGACAGGCTTTCGACACCGATCCCGTCGACCACAGATTATGGTAATTTACGAGGAGGGAACCACCGTCGAACATATCTATACTATGTTTGGTCGTGGTATTGGGGAAGCAGGAAACCTACCATGGGTGCTTGGAGAGGCGTCTGCTCGCCTTGACTCTCCCTGTGCCGTTCTTCAAGCAGAACAGGATGTGGTGCCTTCCTGGATCCCCGACTGGAGAATTCACAGTCAGCGGCCCAGCTTCTGGACTTACGGTTACGATGTTCGATACTTCCTTCGTTCCAATCCGGTTATGACACTGGGGACGTGGACTGGCAATGACGCGGATCAGCCTACGTTCAGCATCACGCTGTCTCCTGCACAATCTCAAAACACCACGCAGCGGGTTTTTCGCATACAATTGCCTCTGACCCGCATCACTCAAGATTCTGACCGTGCCAGGAAAGACGACTACCGAAGCATTGCACCTCTCAAGGTTACATGGCGAAGCGAGACATTTCCTTCATCAGTCGAGTCCTGGCGCGAGGCTGCGACATACACCAAAAAGACATTCAACAGACTCTGGACAATCGTCGTAGTACACGCGAAACACGTCGCATCGTATTCAGCTATCAAATACTCCCCTGTATCGCTTAGAAATGATTTTGCAGAGCGATTTGCCTACATTCTCATTGCCGGGGGTATGTTTATGGAAGGTGGTGAAATCAATCGAAGCTCAGCTATCCGCCTTTGCGAGTTTGCAGACACATTCCACGATTCTGGTACTTCATGGGAGATACTTTCTCATGCAGTCGCATGGAGGAAGAGGCGTCCATCTAGGGTCAAGATTGACTTACTCTACCACGGCAGCAACTCCTTCCACGAATTCCACGCTGAGCAACAAACTTCAGACCTCGTGGCGCCCAAAGTAGCATTCCTGATCAAAATGTTTATACTATCAGATATTGATTTTTCAACCCATGAAAACTGGAAACAACTTGTACGCACTATTGCATGGACTATGCAGGGTGGTTGTGCTTTTGCATGCGTCGTGGAAAACAAGCCTCCCGACGCATCCCCCATGGATATCCTAGGGATTGGCTCAGACTTCCTTGACTTGAATGATAGGATCATGGCAATAACATTTCATGTCACTGAATCAGAACCCAAGCGCAAGCGTCCCCTTTCGCTGTTGAATCTCTGGTCGAGGACGTACCTTGTGCGTCCAGTTTCAGGAGGTGTTGATGAGGACCTAGGGAAGGACGCTTGTGTTCCAAATTTCCAGTTAGTGGGGGATTGCTTTCTATCGACTGTTCGTTGGCTCTCACCGCAGCGGGGACTTATGCCTCGTGAGTGGTTTGCATTGGATGACGATAGTGCGGAGGAAGCAGCGTTGAAAAAGAGATATCGAGGTCATTTCTCGGAGGTTGTTGAGGACAGCGTAATTGACTTTGTTTAGGCAATACTTCCTGTACATACAGTACCATATGCCATCATCATCTGGAAAGAATTCGCTCGAGAGCCATGTTTCTTGGCAGTCTTGATTTTGGCCAGTGTTATATTGACTTCGCATATACACAGTTGACGAATAACAGGCAAAACGTTCATCGTGAGCCATGACGGCCTGCGAGGCTTCTGCCAATGCCCCTATATATTGAACGGATCCGCTTAACTCAGTTCATCTACACAAGCAATGTGAAGGCGGTCTTCTAGTTTCGGCTGGGGCTTACAGTGTTAATGTCAGCTATCGCAATCATTTTTAGAAATTTTTCAGGGTAAGAAGACTGGTCTGCCTCGATCAGTTTCCAAACAACGTCACTTCTACCCATTCCTGGCTGTGTATTTGAAGCACTTATATCTTCATACTATGCGGAACGACTCATCTCATCCTTTGAAAATCTTCCATGGTCTCCCGGGATCGAAGTCAAGGCGATGCGCCCAAACTCTTTGGAAGGTCCCACAGAGTCAAAATGGATTGCAGAGAAGTCGGAACTTGGATTACAGGACTTTTTAAACAACGCCAACCAACCTGAACCTGAGGATCTGAGTGAGAAGAGCCAACGAATCCAGCATCCTTTCATCCCTGGTTCCTATATATTGATCAAGCCCAGTGCAACTCACCAGTTGGCCAAGCAACAATGTCATTTTCTTGGCCTTGATATCCGAAATTACCTGGGTAGTTGTCAGCAGGCGGATTCTCTCGAATCCGTCCAAGTCAGTCATATTAGTCAATCTCTGTCAATCTTTGCGCAGCGTCATTTCTTAACAATTTTCCTTGTGTATTCGAAGTATTCATGGCGTGGCTCTTCGTCGTTTCTGCCATGAGGTCGCGGCAGGAGTTCGCAGTCGGAGATCACGCCAGCTTTCTCCACTCCCTTGCGCAGCTCTCGTGATGCTTAAGTATTCTGCCATATTCAAGCAGAATACTATGTTGGGTCTGGTTTCAGTTCTAATAAGGCGGTTCAATACGGCATCTCTCCTGATGTGGGCGAGACCATGATCTGTTTCTTGCATTGTTTCCCTGTTTGATCATATGTAGGTATGCGTGTAGTACTCTTTTAAGTGGCTCCTATATAATCTCCAAGCTTCTGCAGCCTTTCTGCGGAAGACGAAAGCAATCCACGGGACAGTATCCTGGATTGGTTGGAAAGCCCCAAAAGCTGATCTGTGAGTGCTACAGGAATGCTTGGAGACAAGCGGTCCTCGACTATTGAAGCATGAACTGGATCTTTAAATCACTTTTTACTTCGGACTTTCTGTCATTATGTACGTATTGTGCGTGTATAGACTTACAGAGGCGCGGTTCGCCTGCTCCGTAAGTTCGAACCCGAAATACTGATGTACAAGAAAAGTACGCCAAGCCTTCTCGTACCGTCCACCCTTAAAAGTCTTATCTGCTTGAGGACATGCGGAGGCCACATGGTATCCAACTTCCGCATGCTCGACAATCTTCCATCTGCATATGCAAGGTCCTTTAAAGAAGCGTGGGATCTCGTTGGTTATGCCAGATACCTGCTCCCGAGAAGCTAAAAAGCCCTTGCATAAACACCATGCCGCCGAGTGGCGCAGATGCTCCTCCGAATCCACCCACGTTGGAAAAAGTCCGACCCGAACCACAAATGGACTTTCTTTTCCAGACAGATACATATAGATACCCAGGGAGCTTCTCACCGGTATTCTCGTTGCCACCATCGTCGCCCTTCTTACTCCCGTCTCTCATCTTTTCTGGCGGCTCCAGTATCTTTACTTCCCGAGATCTTGTCCGATCTTATCATCTACAGGCATAATTTTCAGCCATATCCCTCCGCATCAAGTCGCGCAGGTATTTTGACGAAGTGATACTAGCCTGTACATCCCTCGCCTCTTCCAGCCTATCAATCCTCCGCAGAACATCTTCCAACTCGATCTGGTACCGCAGGACATGACACGAAGCACTCTCCCTCCACGCATTATCCTGGGCCTCCAAGTACTCGGCGGCACGGATGGCCTCCTTTAGGCACTCCACCCCGGCCTCTGCATCTCCGAGCTTGACCGCCAGCTTGGATGCGATGTACTTAACCCAGGCATACCGCTCCAGCGACTTACTCTTCCACTGGTCCATAGGCCCCTCGTCCGCAGCATGTAGCCTTTCCAGGTGCCTGCCGCACAGCTCCCGGAAGCCGTCCCACTCAGCGTCCAGAAACGCCGTCGCCACGACCTGATTGTGCTCCACGGTGATGACCTCGTCCGCCGCCGGCCCGAACTGCGTGATGGCGTCCGTCAGGACCCCGTTGTAGCACTCGATCGTATGCCGGTGCGCGGGGCCTTGCTCGCCGCATCGCACGTCCACGCCGTCCCGCTGGTCGAGCTCGCTCTTCCGCCCGAGGACGTGCCCGTAGTAGTTGAGGCAGTGTTCGTGCATCCGGCCGATGCCCCAGAAGAGCTCCTTCTCCGAGGCGCCCGCCATGATCTGCTGCATCAGCCTGGCCAGCCGCGTGATGGGCTCGCCCTCTCTCTTGTTGACGCAGAGCAGCCGGTAGAAGTGCACGAGGTAAGGGGACAGGATGTCGAAGCTGGGGATGAGGTGGGGCGCGTCCAGGACGACGGTGCGGAACATCTCGACGGGGTCGTGCGTGATCACGTCCTCCAGGATCAGGAAGGCGCGCCGCAGTACCGCCCCGCGCTGGCGGTTTAGAGTGACAGGCAGCCGGTTGAAGAGCTCGAACATTTCCAGGAGGTGGATGGCCGGGGAGGGCAGAAAGTCGAACCGCAGATGGAGGTCCCACCCGGCATGGTTTCTGGAGCCGCCCTGGATCAGGTCATTGAGGTTGACGAATAGCTCTTGCGTACGCCGGTCAGTCAGGTTCGCGTGCGCCATGGTCTTTACAAGGGCTAGAGGAGGGCGGCCGGTCCTCAGAAGGTGTTGTGCCGGGGTTCTGCTGCTGACGCCTCTTCGGGAGGGCCTCTTGCAAGTCTTCCCGGGAGGCATTTCTACGGGTTGGCCTTCATGTTGGTCATGCCGGAGCCCCTGTGTGTTGTACTTCCTAAAATTCCATTTGAGGAACTGTCTCTTGAACATTCTCTCTCTGAGGATAGCCCAGGGTTATCAGCGAACTGGATCAACCTTCAATTCGCATTGGGACTGGTGCTTACGTAGCAGAGAAGGAATGCTCTTCATACATGATTCGCCTGATCTCCTTCAACGGAAGATTCCTCTCGAGATACAGGTGCCGAATCCCTTCCTTTTTCTCCTCCCAATCTTCTTGCGACTGCGGATGCACAACATCATTCCTCGTCACAAGCACCAAAGGCCTCCCAGGATCAATTGCAGAGGCGGCACCCGCCGAATCAGCATCTGAATCCATCCCTGAGGAGCAAGTCTTGGTTTGCGGATCATACATGTGACGAGCCTGAGGCGCCATCGCGCATTAACGATGAATTCACATCGACTGATGGATCGAGAGTCGCGAGTTGAGCGCTTGGGGTTCTGGCGGGTCTCCTGGTGGGAAGTTGGTAGCCGCCATGGGCCATGGCAGGGAAAATGCTACCCCGCTGAAGAAGGGGGACGGCACGGGTGGCGCCCAACATAAATGTTCTCTTTCAGCCCTGTCAACGGCCGCGATGGATAGGGAATAGCCTGCCCGGGCTGTCCCTTTTAGTGTTCAATGCCAAGCCTGTCATTAATGAATGTAGCAACCTTTTCGCGCTGCAACCTTCTTGCTGTGGTCTTCATTGGGCGCAGTTCACGCACATCAGTGTTGCCTGCCTCTGTGTTACCCCAGAAAACATATGTCTAGACCACACTCTCCCTGCTAATGGTCTTCAGCCTTCTGGGTTATTGGCAACCGCCTCATAATGTACTTAGTACATCAGATGTGGCGGTGTATTGAAGCGTGGATTGTTGCCAGCCCGCTTGAACACCACACGGCACTTGGTGAGGTAGCATTTGAAGAGGGCCAACGGATGGTGGTTGGCAGCTTGTGCACTTCCTTCCAGTTCGAGCTTAGCAGGTAATTCTAGCGTACGGCGAGTGTAATGAGGTGGCAGGCACATTCTTACAGAAGATGAGAATGAGGTGGATTAACATCCGGGCCGCCTTCAAGAACATCAAGTGGTGTTTATGCATTTGAATCGCTGCGTATGATCGAGGAATGAGCATCACGACCTTCAACGGCTGTTGTTACTGCGCGAATGAAAGACAACGACGCCTAATGGGTTGGGGGTTCACGTGTCTGCGGGTTGCCACTGAATCCACAAAGTTCTCGAAAAGTTCCGGAGATTCAAGCCGCATGAGGTAGTACTGACAGACCGCCGAGCCGGTCAACCATAAGGTTCCGGGAGCCGGTGCCAGCGCCGAGTGTTGCGGTCATGCCCCGTGGCTCCCGAGTCCGCCTCTCCGTATGACCCACACAGGCGCCGTGAGCTCTGTTTCAGCACTGTGACCCTCCAAACTGTGCTAAATATGCCCCTAACGGCCCACTGACATGCTACAAACCGAGGGTGATCAGCACGCACGGAGCGCCATCTGCAACTGCCAAGCACGATTGCCTCAGTCGCTTCGCGTGAGATCAGTGAGGAGGGGAAGTTTAACCTGGAGACGATGTGCCATTTTGTTTCTTGGCTGGTCCACGTAAGCTGCTGTTTCTGCCAAAGAGGAGAGAGATGACAAGACTGTGTAACTTGGTTGAGACTGTTGAGTGGAATGAAGCAACGGCTTAGGTGAGATTGTGGCTTCAGTGAGATTGTTTCTCCCCCACGTCCCGAAGGACGGTATATATATGATGGAAGGTTACGAAGACCTGCTTCTCAGACGATAACTCTCAAACCATCCAGCAAACCATAATCCAACTACAACCTTCTCCAAACAGACCAGCAACCACCTGTCAGCCAAACCGAACAACATCTACCAACATGTCAAACGTCAAGACGATCCCCACAAGCGAATACGACGCCGTCGTCAAGGTCGTCCAAGACTTCTACATTGGAGGCTGCGCCAAGGGCGACAGCGCCCTCCTCGCCCAGGGCTTCCACAAAGAGGCCACAATGTATGGCCACATGGCGGATGGCGCCCTTCTCGGCGGCCCCATCCAGAACCTCTACGACTTCATCAGCAGCGCCGGGGCGGCTCCTCAGATGAAGGCGCGGTGCGACATTCTGGCGATTACACCGACGACAGCTGTGGTGAGGGTGGACATGGAGAAGGACGCGGCAGGAAACAGCTACACGGACTTTCACTCATTGCTGAAGTTTGACGGGGAGTGGAAGGTCATTTCAAAGGTCTTCCACACTTATGCTTCTTGAGAGGTTGGTGGGTTGAATCAAGATGATGTATGGGACGTGAGGAGACCCAGGCTCAAATGGGCATTGGCAGCATTAATTGGATGGGAATGAAAGCATAATGATACTCTGATCACCTACCCTCACTTGATTACCATATTCAATGTGCGAATACCCTTTCTCCCAATATCAGGTTTACGAAAATTGACGAAGTTGCTAAGTTGCGTCGATTGCGTATTTATTCAATATTTTCTCATCCTTTTCCCAAGCTCTCTCTCGTTCGAACAATGCAACCGGTGTTTTCATCTGTCAACGTCACAAGCTCTATCCGGAGGGGGCGTGGTGACTTAGAAAGGGGATATTTATGGTTGAAAAGACCTAGCTTAAGGACACGGAAATGCGCAGAACCGACTTGGACTGATTCAAATGAATAAACTGAGAGAGTTGTGTAATAGTAGCAATTATCGATGATGAGCCCAAATGAAAGGCAATATGGGCCGTACTCCCTCTGCAACGGGGCATGAATCAGCGGTTCAACGTCATGAGACATAGATTAACACCATGTGAATGAGTCGGCCGCATGAGAAGAGATTGGGCTGTCAGAACAGTTGCAAGCAAACCCTGCCGAGTTCATGGTTAAATAGTACCACCACGGGTCTTCGACTCCCTTAGAACCTTCATACTTACGAAGTGTCCCCCCTTTCGTACCCCAAAATCATTCTTCACGGTATGAAGCTGGTCACTTGTGTTGGAACATATAAGCTCGCCAGTCTTCCGACGTGAGTACTCAGCAAAAATTGAAGTCCCATACTCCATTGAGTTTGTCGTATCTTCGAACCTGGCTTAGGACGCCGACTGTCAGCTGTACCATCAATGGACCATGTTGCGGCCGAGACTCGGGACCATCATTCGGGAGTATTGGTATCAGTCATCATCCAAGGAGTATTCATCTGACGTATTACTAAGGCTACACCGGTAGAAAAGCTCTCACGTCCTACACATAATGGGAAACTGGCATCCGACAAGGTGACCACCGCTCGACGAAAGTCACTGGGTCGTTGCAGTCGTACTCAAGCACAAGGGACAAGATGGCACGATGACTTTTCTAGCATTCTTGCCCTGCAGTCAGCCGCACACAGCACGCATTATGGATTCTCTCAGTTATACACCTTTTGGAAGGAGCCTTGTAACTGTCGATGTGTAGGAATAAAACCTGTGATGATAGTGCACTTTGCAAAGCTTAACTCCTTCAACCAATATGTATAAAGGGTCATTCCTTGAGTCTTCGACGTACTCCGCGGAGATGAGTCCATCATATGCAATTCAGCAACCCTACTCCTGAAAGCGCCCTGTAAGTTAAGTACCTACCTATTCATGTAAGAGAATAATCCATGGTTTGGAAGAGGAGACAAAGACAGACAAGGGCCAGTAACCTCGGACAACGACCTCTCAAGATCCATTCCTTACCTTATGACCTGCAGTCTAATGTCTCCCGTATTCTCATCGATTTGAGACAAGCACAAGCCAAGAGAAAATTGCCGCTGTTGAACAGGAGACGATCTGACCTTGTTTATATCATTGACTCCATCGGTCCCAGCCCCAGACGCAACCCAACTCCATATATTTCAAGAGAAATCATGACAATGGGCAGAACACAGCCAAACGATAGTCTGCAACGAGCTCGTTTGTTCCATTCTCTCAACTGCAGCGGCTTTGGGAACATCTTAATATGCTGCGTAGTCACCTTTTCCGCAAACTTTGCCAGGGATTGCACCAGTCTTGCGTATACAATAGAATACCACCACAGAGATGATAGAAGGTACTTGATGAGGCATCGCAGAGCTATGTGGCTGCGAAAAAAGTGTGCCCGACAAGGAGATTGGGAAAGCAGTGGAATCTGTGCGTCAAATACAGACATACGCAACGGCCGTTGAATTCGTGTGGCGAAGGTTCCAATCGTACTGCTACCGTGGGATCTCTCTTATACACAACAGGCCAAACAGCCAAAAACAGAATACCCCGGCGCCGTATTCAGGATCAACGAATCTTGTCTTGACGATCCACCGCCCGTGATCATGCTAGCAAGCGAAACCTGTGAATCAAACAGGCTCGACACCCTGTCTAGAAGGCATATCGGAGTGGACTCTGGATCCAAATTGGGGAACACCCCTTGATCAGCATGCCTCCAAGTTTGGCACTCCAAGTCACTCGAATCTGTCTAGATTTACAGTCACGACGTCTCGGAGCATAAAAGGTATGGCCAATGGCGGGTATTGTCATTCGTGGACAATTACTAGCTAGTGTACAGTATTCGCCAGACATTCATCTGGCAGGCGATGCAAATCGCACCGCATCTCAATGCATTCAAAGTTCCCCTTCCTATATGCGTCCGTTTCTCCTTCATTTCCGTTGATTTACGGTCATTCCCCGACGATGCAAATGCTGTACCGGACCCATGATGCTATGCCGATATGAGAAAATCAAAGTAGAAAAGTCGCCGTACCTGTCCCCGGCCACCCCTTTCTCCCATGTTCCGTGAATAATAAACCGAGTTCGTTTCTCCGCCTCGATTATTGGGCGGTTTTTAGACAAAAGAAAAGGGGGCCCATCTCCCTAAATCCAGCCAAATGAAGTTGGATATGTACAGTGAGCCGCGTGGGCGGTGCGGACTAGTTGTCGTGTCTGAAGGTGCACTTGTCGCCTCTGGCACACTTGCCCTGTTGCCAGAAGCTGCAAGGCTTGGTTCCGATGAGGGCGCGGTTGACCGGTCGATGAGGAGGGAGCGTGGCCCCGCCTGGAGCGTTGCCTTTGCGGTTCTTACCCTGCTTGCCCCTGCCACCCTCGCGATCGCGGTTCCGATCCCGGTCGCGTCCACGGTGTTCCTCAGATTCGTCCCGACTGTCCCGGTCGCTGTAATCGATCAACTTCCGTCCGTAAGATGGTTTGTTATACAAAGGCTCCGGGGTTTGATCGACAGCGGGCGGCTCGGGGGCAGGGGGTGGCTGTTGTTGCTGAGGCTGTTGTTGCTGCTGCTGCATCTGCGCGAGCATCATCAACTGCTGGTAACCCTGGTCCTGAGGGTTGAGACCGAAGGCACCGGCCTGAGGTGCGCCCTGGGCGGGCTGCTGGCTCATTTGAGACAGGAGTGCTTGAAGCTGAGCATCGCCTACTTGCGGCATTGGCGCTGCTGGGGCCGGCGCGGGTTGAGCGGACTGCTGAGGCTGGCCACCTGGCATGGATTGCATCAGAGCCATGTACTGGGCATACTGTTGCTGTTGCTGGTAGTAGGCTGCCCACGCGTCCTGGTTGTCTTGGTTCTGGGGCGCTGTCTGCTGTGCGCTTGCTTTCGCCTCTGCATCAGCCCGAATTCGTTCTTCGGCATCCCTCTTCGCCTTGGCCACTGCATCTTTCTGGAATCCAGCCCACCATTCTCTGACTCTCTCTTGATCATGAGCGAGCCAGTCAGGCGGGTTGGTTGCAGGATAGGGCAGTCCTCGCAATTTCTCGACAACCTCTTCGATGCTGTTCGCGGCCGCCTGGATACTTGGGTCCGGGTAATCGTAGCGTCGCTGAGTTTGAGGTGCTGCCGCATTGTAAGGGTTATTGTCCCTCCAGTCCTTCAACTTGTCGGATATCAGAATGCCGTGAACCTTGTCGTCGAATGGTATCGAAGGGATAGGCTGCATGTCGGCTGCAAATGGAATGATCGGCTGAGCAGGGGGCTCTCCAGGTGGAGTCATGTTGTACGGTTCGGGAGTGACAGCAGGTGCAACAGGTTTGAGGTTGCCCAGGATGGAGTTCAACTTGGTGGCGGGGTCATCCTTAGCTTCGAGACGCTTCCGAGCATAATATGCCGCAGCTTCCCAGCCAAACTGCTGACTCTCCTTCCATCGCTTCTGAATCTCGTCGAACTTCGCATCACCCTGGGGAAGCTGCACGGTCTTGGCGTCGACATTGGGAACTTCTGGCTCTGGGGGCGGCGACTTAGGCGTGGGAGGAATATCCGAAACGTCCGTGTAGATAACCATGAGTTCCCTGTTCTCTCGATCCGCGATCGTCTTCTGCTCATCGGTGTGGAAAGTCTTACTACCACCTCGGGTGACAAATGACTTGTCGCGGTACTCTTGGGCGATGCGGGATACGTCGGCCAGGATAGGCGGGACATATGGCTGGTAAGGCAGCTCATCCTCGTCGTCTTCGTCTTCGTTGAAGTTGGCACGCTGCTTGAGCATCATTCCCTCAGAGCGATCATCCGCTGCGTCCTTCGTCATATTGTCTTCATCCTCCGCCGCCTCTTTGTGGAAGACACGAACTTGTACCAACTCCGATTCGGGCTTCCAGGTAACCCGCAGTTTGCGGCGAGCCTCTTTCCTGAGCCTCTTTGCCTTCTCCTCGGGAGTTTCGGGGGTGTCTCTCTTGTTAGCATCTTTCGCTTGCGTTGCCTGGTTCTCTGCCTTGGGGGTGTTGATGGAATCAAGAAGAGACGCAATGCTGGAAAGCGAGGAGCTAGAGGCTGCAGCTGGTTTCGGGGCGGCTGCCTTTGGCTCGGGTTTTGGCGGAGCTGGTGCCGGCTTCTTGTCAACATCCATTGGTGTAGCGGAGGACGAGGCTTCGGGCTTTGGGGCTTCCGGTTTTGTCAGCTCCTTGGTGATTGGCTTGGGAGGTCGAATCTTGCCTGCAAGGAGCGTTGACGCGGGACGAGGCTTCGAGGCAAATTTCGACTGGAGAGACCCAGCCGTCGCTGGCTTGGCACCCGTCTTGTTGGCCAAGGTAGTGTTCGACGATTCCACGGCCATCTTCTTGACAGTCCGGGTGTCGCTGTCATCGTCGCGGGCCCTCTTGGCGGGGGAGCTTTCAACAGCCTTCGTTGCCGGCTTGGTGGCTTTGCTGGCTGGAAGGGCCGATGACGTCTTCTTTACCTCGACGCCATTGCTCGTCTCGGTGTCTTTCTTGATCCTCGAAGCAATAGTTCGCACAAGCTCCTTGACCTCGTCGTCGCCCTTGTCTGCAAGACGCTTCCGAAC